TATTAAAATATCAGAGACAAAATAACAATTACCACAACTATCTTTTACTGAGAATATTCCATATCCTGTGTCTAATGTGATTTGCATATATTATTTCTTATAAACCTTGATAAAACTGATACGTATATTGGGACTCACAAAAGGGGACCCAGTGGCCTGACATCGAAATTTATGCCAGCCTGCACTTACGGGAAATACCCGTCAAGGAACCTAGACATACTCCAAGCACAATCCTCCCAATCAGCTTTAGCTAGCTTACCTTACCCTAAAACATAGGACCTTGCGAGCCTCATAAGGAAATCCCCTACCTCCTTGCTAATCGTGCCCTGTTTCCATGTTGCCCTTTCTCCCTAGAAAACTTATTCTTATCCAATATCCCTCAGGGACAGTGACCCACTGCTTGTGAGGCACTGACACTCCCAACCCAAGGAATGTTTCCCTTGCATAAAGGGCATCAAGCCCGTCATTAAATTGTATAATTTTTGTCATTTGACAATCTGAAACAAATGCAGACATGTATGATTACCCCCATTTTATAGATAAGAAAACTCAGTCTCTGAGAGGATAAGCAGCTAGTCTAAGATCTAATACTCAACGTGGGGTGGAACCAGGATTTGAGCTAAAGTATAGATGATCCAAAGCACACTGTCTCCATTTTGACATCCCCAAACAATAGTTCAAATCTGAAGGCAGAGTGGGTGCTCAATAAGTATTTGTCGAATTACTTAATCCACTTTTAAGTTATATTAAAATATTTCTTACTGATAGTAAAAGAGGTGACAAGATTTCACCTTATGCCGTCAGTAATGCTAGACATAGATATAGAAGTTAGTGGTGTTTGCACACTGTTTTTAGGATGGAAGTAAAATATGTATCCCAAAAAAGGGAGGGTTAATTAGGTGGTAAAAATGACCAGATTTCTGCTGAAGTCCCCCATACCCTCCCCACTCCCTTTCCCTCCCCTCCATCTCTCCCCACCCACCCCACACCCCAGATCACCTAGCTGAGAGCTACTGAGTGCACAAACAGTACTTTGCATTTTATGCTAACCTCCCATCAGTGCTGTTCCTTGTATCCCATACCTTGCTAGCCTATTCTATAAAATGTTTTCCTCATTTCAAATAAAGCCCCAAACAATATAGATATTAATGATTAAAGTATTTTTTAAAAATAGAAGTGCATAATTTATGCTTCTTAAGGAGCATCGTCTGAGCCTTGGTAGGAAATTAATTTAATTAACACAAATCTTATTTCCACAACTCAGGGAACTTCAGTGATACGTTTGTATGAGATGCAATATCGGGTCGAGTCAGGCTACATGCTCACTTAAGAGTTTTCTAGTGCTATGATACAATATTGCTCCAGTTACACAGTGACATTTTTTTTTTTTACTAAAGACTTTCTTTCATTTACTTCGAATTTGACATTTTAATGATTTTCAAACACTTATCCTGAAGTTCTAAAAATACCATACGCTAAGATGTGCCTTTCCTGCAAGACATGCCATCAACTGGTGGATTTTAATGTATTTTCCTCTATTAAGTACAGGTTAAAAAAAAAGTAAAAGAAATATACATCTATTTTTTCATGATCATTTTATAACCATGTTGGCTTATAATAGTTAGTTTGCTTCTATAAAAGTACTATATATATTTGTGGGACATTTATAATAAGGTAGTAACAAAAATGTTCTTAAGTGTTCAGTACATATTAGAAATAATACATAATCTCATATAAAGTAATAATTTTTTGAGGAAAAAGTTATAAAGCTATGAAAAATTGGGGCGCCTGGGTGGCTCAGTCAGTTAAGCAGCTGCCTTCGGCTCAGGTCATGATCCTGGGGTCCTGGGATCAAGCCCCGCGTCAGGCTCCCTGCTCAGCAGAGAGCCTGCTTCTCCTTCTCTGCCTGCCTCTCTGCTTACTTGTGCTCTCTATCTCTCTGTCAAATAAAATAAAAATCTTTAAAAAAAAATTTAGGGGCTGCTATCAAGTATTTCAAAATTCTTAAATCATATTTTGCATTATATAATTAATGTTAAAAATGTTTCGTTGATATTTTTTGCTTTAAACTTTGCAAGAGACAGAACATGATTGTATATGTTCCCTAAACAAATTGGACTATTACTGAGCATAACTGAACATGTTTATTTAAATATAAATGTAAAACTCATTTTTAAGATAGAACTCTGAATTAGTAAAATTGTTATTGGCTCCAGAGTATTCAAACTCATGCCCTCCACCCCCAAATGGCAGGTATAGTCTTTCATGTGTAAGCAGTTCTATTAGTGTAACACACTTGGCCTCTCTTTGCTCCTTTACTCACTTCTTCCCCTGGGGGGAGGCAGGGAAGAGGAGGAACTTAATTGGATTGCATTTGGGGAAGGATATATTGGTATGTATAGGGTGGCCCCTTTCTCTTTAAGGCTCAGCTGCCTTTGGGGAACACCTGATCTGCTCTGGTCTTCGAGCTTGAAATTATAACTTGGGGAGCTCTGCCTTGCCTCATTATAGCTCTGTTTGTGACTGAGGGATAACTTTACCTAAAACTGGAGCTCACAAAGGGGAAGCTCACTTGCTGCAGATATATGTCAGACCCTCTGTTACCAGTTTTATCAGAAAGAAAGGTGATATGCAGGTCTCCTATCTGCTTCATTCTTATTTCCTTATGAGTTGGTCCAGCGCTTGGGTGGAGAAAAGGAATGTTTTAATTGAGCTCTTTCAAACCCCAAATGAGTAAGTGTATTTTGCTCCTTTTACCAATTTTCAGTCTTCGAAGACAGGGATTTCTCCCTATCTGCAGACATAACAGACCTAAGACAAAGGTGATTAGTTAAATTTTATAAAACCATTCATTACACATGATTCTCATTTTCAAAGCAAATCAGGTTGATCAAATTGCCATCCTTGAAGCAAAAAAAATAAGTAGTCATATATTTCTTTTTAGTTTTATGTTTCTATCTCTCTACACATAAATGTGAGTGTACATAATATACCCATATACATTTAATATATGAATAGTGATTTTATTCAAAAATAATCCTTACTGTGGCATAATAAAAATATATATATTTGGTCTTTATCTCCTGTTCCTGGCAAACAACTCTATAAAACTCTTGGAATTTCTGAGATGATGAGTGTCTTTTATACACTAATGAATGATTGGTGCCTGGTGGTCCCTGGATAGCTTTAGTGGCGAAATACCCAGGCAAGATCAGAGAGTTAGAACTTTCACCCCATCCCTAACCTTCTGGGAGAGGAGAAGGGCTGGAGACTGAGTTAATCACCAATGGCCAATGATGGGATAAATCATGCCTACATAATGAAACCTCCGTAAAAACTCCTGAACAGCACGCTTTGGAGAGCTTCTGAGTTGGTAAACACACCGAGGTCCCGGGAGTTTGGCACACCCAGAGAGAGCATGGCAGCTCCACATCCCTCCTCCCCATGCCTTGCCCTACTCATCTTTTCCATTGTGCTGTTGCTGAGTTGTATCCTTTGTAACAATAGAAGTAAAGTGTTTTCCTGAGTGCTGTGAGCTGTTCTGGCAAATTATCAAATCTGAAAAGGGGGATTGGAGGAGCCCCCAACTTTATCGCCAAGTTGGACAGAAGTGTACGGGTCCCCCGGGCACCCAGTATTTGTGACTGGCATCTGGAGTGAGGGCAGTCTTGTGGGAATGAGCCCATAAACCTGTGGAGTCGGACACTTAACTCTAAGCAGTGTCAGAGCTGAATTAAATGACAGGACCCTCAGCTGGTGTCCAGAAGGTTGTAGAACTGGTTCTTGGTGTGGAGAAAACCCACACATGTGGTGTCATAAGTGCTGTGAGCAAATACAGTTCATACTTACCTTCTGTATTCCTATAATACCAAAAGAAAAAAATACTAAAGACAAAAACTGTGCACACTGACTCCCACATTTTCTTTCCTCTTGCTGGACAGGTATTACACTTACTCTAATATCCAAGTAACATTCACTGTAAGACTGTTCTTTCCTTATGTATGTAAAATATGCTTCACTATACATGCAAACACACAGGAAAATAGTCGTGTATTTGCAAACATTTTAAATGATGGAATTGTGGGTGGGGGCACCACACCATGATAGTTTTCCCTTTGAGTTGACATTTCAAGAGATATTGTGTTTTAAAACACTCCCATACGTGTTTTAAAAGAGCTGTAGTAAAAGAGTTCATTCTTAAAAAGACATAATCATTGAAATGCCAAATAGCTGGTTCTCATAAAGAATTTACCACGTAGGACATCCCTGCAATGACGATTACTTTTTCTCTGGTCACCAAAGTATCTAATTCCTACTCCTGTTTAAATGAAACAGTATCAACATTTTTTTCAGTGTCAATTTTTGTCACTTTGCATGAATTGCAAGGAATTTCTTCATAAGTATAAACAGAAGGCAAAAGAAAAGCAACATAGAGTCTTAGAATGCTTTAAAGATCATCAAAAAGCTTATCTGTGCCTTAAAACAAATTATTATACTGTTGTATACTATAAGGTACAGATACACATTTGTTTGTGACAGTCCACTCTAGCAACCACTAAACTTGATTCTTAATTTTGCACATGAAATTTTCACTTCTAAGTTTTGAGCTACTGCACTTTAAATGAAACCGAGAGATATACTTTTAATCACATCGTTTTAAGTTCACTTATTGCTACTGACTCATTTTTTTTCCCTAATAAAACAAGGTGGTGTGACTCTTCATATTCTAGCAAACAATTTTCCTTCCTTATCCTATTTGCATAGGAATATGAACTTCCGGTTCCTGTCAAATGAGTCTTCACTACCAAGACGAGAATGTAAATTCGTGTAATGTCTTTGTGATCTTGGAATAGGCACCAAATACTGACTGCTAACAGTTACGAATATTTATCAGTTGCTGTTATTAAAAAGACAGTTTTTTTTTTCCCTCCCAGAGTTTTTGAGTAAATAATTTCAAAATGTTACTCCATCTGTCAATGTTTTCCGAAAACAGTACCAACCTTCTTTTTTATCTTCTGGAGTAATCTGCACTTTTGTATCTGTTATATCTTTGAATGAGGCCAGAAAAAGTACCACATCTCCTTTCTCATTCTTTATAGGAACAATATCCAATAGGCACCAAAATGGAGACCCTGCAACAGTAATAAAAATACAAATCAACCACTGCCTTATGCTTTTTCTATGAAAATCTCAATCATTAGTGGTGCAGTTAATAAAGTCCTTACTGTTTTCTTCTATCCCACACCTCCCCTCCAAAATCTTAAAAATGTCAGTTTTCAGATTCCATAAATATCTAGCCCATATGCATATCTCTTCATTCCCAAATGAAATGCTTTCTTTGAAAATAAGGCTGTATTTTAAACAAAAACACTTGTCTGTGCTGAGATATTTCTGCTTATGTAATTCAAACTGTATTTCTTTTTTGAACTTGTTGCTGTTGAAGCATTCCACTTTATGAAACATTGCCCCTTCCCACCCCCAGCACACATGGGTTGCTAAATAAAGACCTTTGTTTGGTAAGAGTTTGCTGGAGGTTTATTTAGTCAATATAAAAAATCAATGATTGCCCATCAGAATGGCTAAAGTAAAAAAAAGATAGAAAATACCAAGTTTGGGGGAAAATGCATCATCATTTGAACTCTTCTAGATTGGTGGCTGGTTGCAAATTAGTACACATATACTTTAAAAACTGTACAGCAGTATTAAGATACATTCCCACAATACAACATCAAGCAGCACTGTGAATGAGCATTGCGCAATAATTGACAATCAGATGGATGAATATCACTAACATAATACTGAGCAAGAGTAGCCAGTCACAAATGAGAAGAATGCATTTACAGTAAGTACAAAACAGGCAAAACTCACCTACATGTTAAAAGTCAGGTTGGTGGTTTGGGAGATTGTGATTCGAAGGGGACACAGGTTGGGGAATTCTGGGATCCTGGTCAAGTTTGCTTTATGACCTTTATGTTAATTACATAGGAGTGTTCAATTTTTGAAAACCCATCAAACTCTACACTTACATGTGTCTATTTTTCTGAATATATGTTTTACTTTAAGAACATATATTCTTTTAAGATTTTATTTATTTATTTGTCAGAGAGACAGAGAAAGAGAGCACAGGCAGGGGGAGTGGCAGCCAGAGGGAGAAGCAGGTTCCCTGCTGAGCAGGGAGCCCGATGCGGGGCTCGATCCCAGGACCCTGGGGTCATGACCTGAGCCCAAGGCAGACGCTTAGCCGACTGAGCCACCCAGGCATTCCTCAAGAACATATTTTAAAAAGCGATAATCATTCTATTTTTTGAGCAAAAGAATCTTGAGAAATACCATTAGTAGCTTCGGGTTCAAACCTAAGGCTCATATTTTGAAATGTTTTTATGTATATTAAAATATATATATATTTTAAGAATATATTAAAATTCTTATATTAGATTTCCTACTAAAAAGCATTCCTGGGCAAAAAAAAAATGAAAATGGCAAAAAAGTTATTGCATAAAAACAAAACTATTAATCTATTCATATATATTTTTCCTACATTTTTTTGATGGGGGAAAAAACCTTAATACTGTGAATTTCCACCTTATTTGGGAGTTGATTTCAAAGTTGAGTATAAAACAAAAATAACAGTCAGAAATACCCTTGATATTTTAAGTTGTTTTGTGTATACTGTATTAGATCTCACAATTTCCAAAACAGCTGACATATCCATCCAACCTTGGAATCTACCAGGTTTTTTTCCTTACTTAAGCACCAGATGAAGGAGTTGATATAGAGCCCATCTGACATAAAAATCACATTTTATTTTAGCTGCTGTTGTACTTTTTGAAAAGTGTGGTTGGATACACATACAATAAACGTGTGTATAATGCACTTCTGCTATATAAAGAATGCATGGAATATGTACTTGATCTGTACATCCTCCTAATAGCTTCAGCATCATGAATTCCTCCGTGTTCTCTTGACTCAGATCTATGGTTTCCTTTCATTCATCTTCCTAAATGTCCATGCCACAGCAATGCCATTTCAATATCCATTACCAGGCTCCAGGAGACCTGGGATCTAACCAACATTAACTAGCCCGGGACCATGGGGGAGTCAATTAACTTCTCTTCTCCAATTAACTTGGTTCCCTTAATTGTAATATTCTCATATCCATCAGTCCAGTAGTAGATAGAGCAACTCAAAAACAATGAGACAATAAATCAACTCTATTGTCTATGACTGACTAATGGGGAAAAACCTTCTAAATGAGCCATATCCCTGGCCAAACACTACTAGCCCCATCATCCCAGAATGGCTCTTAATTCTAATTTTTTCTATGGCCACCTTTTCAAGGTGGGAGATGTTTTCAGTAATGCTGTAGCTATGGTAGGAACGAAAAGACCCATCAGGGCAAGCTAGCAATCAGACCCTAGACATAGTAATAGTGGGGACATGGAAAACAGTATGAATCTGATATTTTGGATCACACTGTAAAGCATCTCTCTGTCAATTATCTTGCAAAAACATCACCCAAATCAGAACAGAGGCTATTAATTTTCCTGAAAATCCATTTTATCTATGCACTCAGATAAGCATCATTATTGTCTCCACAGAGCCTTTGAACAGGTGGAAAGTCGAAAGATCACTTTGAGGTTTGTCTTTTAAGTTACAATGAGATGTAACCTTTGACATTTTATAAATTCTGTAAAAGTTCATTAACATGGGTCTCTCTAAATTCAAATTTTGTAATGATTTGGTCGGCACTAGGCTGATGTCTGCTTTCCCACTGCACATATGACAAAAGAATGTGTAGAGGCATACCTTGGAGATAATGTGGGTTTGGTTCCAGATGACCCCAATGAAGTAAATATCGCAATAAAGTGGGTTAAAGGAATGAAAAAAAAAGATTTATTTATTTATTTTAGAGAGAAAGAGAGTGAGGGGAGCAGAGAGAGAGAGAGAATCCTGAAGCAGACTCCCCCCACTGAGCATGGAGCCTGATGCGGGGCTCGTTCCCAGGACCCTGAGATCATGACCTGAGCAGAAACCAAGAGTTGGGCGCCCAACCGACTGACCCACCCAGGTGCCCTGGGTTAAATGACAATTTTTGGTTTCCAGTGCATATAAAAGTTCTATTTACACTATACAATAGTCTGTTAAGTGTGTAATAGCATTGTGTCTAAAAATAAAATGTACATGCCTTAATTAAAAATACTTAATTTCTTGGAGCACCTGGGTGGCTCAGTTGGTTAAGCAACTGCCTTCGGCTCAGGTCATGATCCTGGAGTCCCAGGATCGAGTCCCGCATTGGGCTCCCTGCTCAGCAGGAAGTCTGCCTCTCCCTCTGACCCTCCCCCCTCTCATGTGCTCTCTCTCTCTCTCTCTCATTCTCGCTCTCTCAAATGAATAGATAAATAAAATCTTTAAAAAAATACTTAATTTCTTTAAAAAAATGCTAACCATCATCTGAGGTCTCAATGAGTTGTAATCTTTCTTGCTAGTGGAAGGTCTTGCCTCAATGTTGATGGCTGCTGAGTGATCAAAGGTGGGTGGTCATTGAAGGTTGTGGTGGCAGTGGCAATTTCTTAAAATAAGACAACAATAAGATTTGCCAAATCAACTGACTCTTCCTTTCACGAGTGATTTCTCTGTAGCATGCGGTGCTATTTGATAGCATTTTACCCATAGTAGAACTTCTTTCAAAATTGGTGTCAATCCTCTCAAACCCTCCTGCTGTTTTACCAACTAAGTCTATGTGATACTCTAAATCCTTTGTTGTTATTTCAACAGTCTTCAAAGCATCTTCACCAGGAGAAGATTCCATCTCAAAAACCACTTTTCTTTGCTTGTCCATAAGAATCAACTCTATCCACTAAAGTTTGATCATGAGATCGCAGCAACTCAGTCCCATCTTCAGGCTCCACTTCTTATTCTAGTTCTCTTGCTATTTCCACCCATCTTCAGTGACTTCCTCCACTGAAGCCTTCAACCCTTCACAGTCATCCATGAGGGTTGGAATCAACTTCTTCCAAACTCTCCTGTTAATGTTGATATTTTGACCTCTTCCCATAACCCCTTCCCTCTTAATGGCATCTAGAATGGTGAATTCTTTCTGGAAGGTTTTCAATTTACTTTTCCCAGCTGCATCAGAAGAATCACTATCTATGGCAGCTACAACCTTACAAAAGGTGTTTCTTTCTTTCTTTTTTTAAGATTTCTCTATATATTTGAGAGAGAGAGAGAGAAAGAGAGAGAGAGAGAGAGAGAGTGTGTGTGTGTGTGTGCGTGTGTGTGTGAGCAGAGAGAGGGAGAGAATCTCCAGCAGACTCCCTGCTGAGTGCAGAGCCTGACACAGGGCTCTGTCTCAGGATCCTGCAATCATGATCTGAGCAGAAATCAAGCATTGGACACTTAACTGACTGAGGCACCCAGGCACCCCCAAAATGTGTTTCTTAAATAATAAGATTTGAAAGTCAAAATTACTCCTTGATCCATGGGCTGCAGAATGGATGTTGTGTTAGCAGGCATGAAAACAACATTAATCTCATTGTACATCTCTATCAGAGCTCTTGGATGGCCAGCTGCATTATTAATGAGCAGTAATATTTTGAAAGGCATCCTTTTTCTGTAAGTCTCAACAGTGGGTTTAAAATTAAAATATTCAGTAAACCATGTTGTAAACAGATGTGCTGTCATCCAAACTTTGTTGTTCCATGTATAGAGCACAGGCGGAATAGATCTAGCATGATTCTTAAGGGTCCTGGGATTTTGTCTGGAATGGTCAATGAGTATTAGCTCCAACTTAAAGTCACCAACTTAATGCACTGCATTAACCCTAACGAGAGTCAGCCTGTTCTTAGAAGCTCTGAAGCCAGCCATTAACTTCTCCTCTCCAGCTATGAAAATTCTAGATGGCATCTTCTTCCAGTAGGAGGCTGTGCTTAAGGGAATGTTTGGTTGGTTTGACCTTCTATCCAGATCACTCAGACTTTCTCCCTATCAGCAATGAGGCTGTTTCAATTTCTTAGTACTCGTGTGTTCATTGGAGCAGCACTTTTAATTTTCATCCAGAACTTCCTTGCATTCACCACTTGGCTGTTTGGCCCAAGAGGGCTAGTTTTTGGCCTATTTTGACTTCCAACATCCT